CTGGTGTTGGTCCAAGTTCCTTCCTTGGATGTCTGAGCGACCACAGCTGGGCAGCACAGGTAGCTGGGTTTATCCCTCCTGCCTTCGGGATGATGCTGTTCAGGAGCAGTGTGAGCTGCCAAACCAAGCAGGAATAATTTAACCCAGCCCAGAACTGCTGCAGGGTGTGCCCCAGGGAGTGCTGCCTCCCTCCTGGGCTCTGCCCGGCAGCAGAAGCAGCTGAGCCCTTGTTTTCTTTCCCTTGCAGACGGCCGAGAAGGAGGAGTTTGAGCACCAGCAGAAGGAGCTGGAGAAGGTTTGCAACCCCATCATCACCAAGCTGTACCAGAGCGCAGGAGGGATGCCCGGGGGGATGCCTGGAGGATTCCCTGGGGGTGGAGCTCCTCCCTCCGGGGGAGCCTCCTCCGGCCCCACCATCGAGGAGGTGGACTAAGGACACCTGGAAATGCATTCCACTAGCAGTTAGTGTTGGAGGAAACCCCCAGCTGGGGGTTGGAGTGAAGGACCCAATCCTGTAGGCACATCTGGGTTTATTTTGCCAGATTAAAAAACTCCATAACTCAGCTGCTGTTAAAAAGAGAAAAAAATCCAAAACTGAACAAAACCATTTTGTTTTCTGGGCATTTTAAATACTTGAAAATGTGCACAGGTGGGAGATGAATACCATTGCACTTTACAGTACTGTAAATGAGTGGAAATGCAGTTCATGTCCTAAAGAATAAAAACTATTTAATGGGCATCACACTGTCTCTGCCTCACTTGTTTGTACCAACTGACCAGTGTAAATACAGGGAAATAAAAGCTCTAAACACAGATAATTGGTGCTGAACTGAGCGTGATCCAGGTGGGTTTTGCAGTGGGAAAAGAAGTTCGAACCAGGTGCTGCTTGAGCATTTAGTGGATTTTTGAGAGAACTGAAACTGCGTTGTTACTGACTTGTGGCAGGAAATCTCAGAACTAAGTTGGAAAAGACCTTTTAGGTCAAGTCCAATCTATAAGTTAAATCTTGAAAGTACAAAAATACTGGATAATTAGTAATTCTTGAATAAAAACTAGCTGAAGTATCTCAACTTGCAGGACAGTCCAGAGGTGACTGGAGTTGAATTTTCAGGAATAATTGGCAATGTCTTGTAATATTTTATGAGAAAACCCCACTGCTTGATATATAAATACTATTTGTTATATATATATAAAAATAGCAGTGGAGGACCAATGAAACTAAAATCAGAATTCCTAGGGCACTACCAGTTGGAAGGAGCTTGGGAGAGATGGAAAATATTTTGTGTTGGGGACCCTCTCAAATGCCCAGTGTGGGGCACCACAGTGATTCCCCTGCCCCGGGATCCCAGCAAAATCCTCCCCGAGGGCAAACCTGATCCCTCAAATTCCAAACGTTCACCTTCATTTTTGGGTTGTTCAGAGCTGCTGGTGCCTGAGCACTGAGATTTACATGAAAATTTAATGGGGAAAATGGAGACTTAATCATGGAATTCTTTCCTTGCTCCTAGGCAGGCTGAGATGCATCACCGAAATTCCTGTGTCCCCTCCTTACTGAGCATGATCTGAAGCATCCCTGGGCTGATTTGGGGTTAAAAACATTCCGGAGTGCTCATCCCTGTTTTATCCCAAACACCTCTGGACAATCCTGCAGAAATTCACTCTCCCAGCCCAATCCAGGTGCCTTTGGCAGGCCGGGCTGTCCCTTGGTGTCCCCATACCAGCTCTGAGAATCCCCTAATAACAACCAGGGAGTGATGAAAAATTAAATTAATCACACAAAACAGGGAGGGAAATTAGGGATTAAATACGTTTTGGTTTGGGGACCCTGCTGGCACTGCTGGTGCTGGGCCACCAGATAGCAGCACCTGCCCATAGAATGGCAAAGTCCCTTTTTTTTTGTTTTTGGGATGTCACTTTTTTGGGTCCCTTTTTTTGGTTGCCCCTCTGGGTATGAATAACATCACCCCAAAATATTTATGGCGTTGGATGTGATCCAGAGCAGCACCTCCCATTAATAGTGTGTGAGGTTCTTGTTGCCTTGAGGGCCACGGGGTGGAAATGGGGTTTGGAAAATGTTGGTTTGGGGTATTTAGTGGGGGAAGGGAGATCTGGGGCTGTCAGAGTTCTGGTGCAAACCCACAGGGGCTCAGAGGATAAATCCGACAAGCACAGCACAGGCTGAAGGTCTGGGGACACACAGGGGACAGCAGCACCTGAGCCAGGGCAGCAGGTGAACAAATGAGTGAAAATATCGAATTGATGGGATTTTCGCATTTATCACAACAAGGAAACTCTCAAAAAAAAGGGAACCTTTTAAAAAAAAATTTAAAAAACCCATCGGGAAAGGTGAGGGCTGGGTGTAAGGAAAGGCACAGTCTGAGATTGTGGTTGGAAATTCTCATTTCGGGAGGGATTTAAAGACGCAATGAGGCTGAGGCAGGAGTGCAGCAGCCCTGCTGAGCCTCCCTCTCCTGTCCCTGCTTTTCCATCCCCGATTCCTCCGGGGCTGCAGTTTTTTTGTTCAGCTGCAATGTTCAGCCGTGCTGCAGCAGCAGTCCATGCACAGGTGACAAGCCAGGACCGGTGGCTTTGAGCCAGGGCAGCAGCAAATCAGGGATTTCTTTCCCTGCCAGCCAGAGCCCGGGGTGCCTCAGGTGGGGCTGGCACCTCAGGGGTGGCACGGGATGAGCCACAGCAGAAAATCACTGAAACACAGAGTTTTCCTGGACACATCCACGTGTTCCATGTACTTTTGGGGATTATCCAGCATTTAAAAGCAGCACCAGGACAGCTAATCCTGGCACCTGGGGCAAGGCGTGGGTTTATCCCTAATCCTGTGCCTAACAAAATGTGGGTTTATTCCTAATCCTAGTACCCAACGAAGTGTGGATTTATTCCTAATCCTGTACCTAACAAGGTGTGGGTTTATTCCTAATCCTGGTTCCTGGGGACAAGGTGTGGTTTTACACCTAAACCTGTACCTAACAAAGTGTGGGTTTATACCTAGTCCTGGTACCTAACCAGGTGTGAGTTTATTCCTAATCCTGTAACAAGCAAGGCACAGATTTTACCTAATTCTGTACCTAACAAGGTCTGGGTTTATTCCTAATCCTGGTGCGTAACACGGTGTGGGGGTTTTCCTAATCCTGTACCTAACAAGGCATGGGTTTTACCTAATCCTGTACCTAACAAGGAATGAGTTTATACCTAATCCTGTAGTTAACAAGGAATGGGTTTATTCCTAATCCTGTACCTAACAAAGTGTGGGTTTATTCCTAATCCTGTACCTAACAAGGAATGGGTTTATTCCTAATTCTGTACCTAACAAGGAATGGGTTTATTCCTAATTCTGTACCTAACAAGGAATGAGTTTATACCTAATCCTGTACCTAACAAGGAATGGGTTTATTACTAATCCTGTACCTAACAAGGTGTGGGTTTATTCCTAATTCTGTACCTAACAAGGAATGGTTTTATTCCTAATTCTGTACCTAAAAAGGTGTGGGTTTATTCCTAATCCTGTACCTAAGAAGGAATGGTTTTATTCCTCATCCTGTACCTAACAAGGAATGGGTTTATTCCTAATTCTGTACCTAACAAAGTGTGGGTTTATACCTAATCCTGTACCTAACAAAGTGTGGGTTTATTGCTAATTCTGTACCTAACATGGTGTGAGTTTATTCCTTATCCTGGTACCTGGGGGCAAGGTGTGGGTTTATTCCTAATCCTGTACCTAACAAGGAATGGGTTTATTCCTAATTCTGTACCTAACAAGGAATGGGTTTATTCCTAATCCTGTACCTAATAAGGAATGGGTTTATTCCTCATCCTGTACCTACCAAGGCGTGGGTTTATTCACCCCACTCTTTACCCAGCACCCACAGCACTCAGCACCCTCCTCCTCCTCCTCTCTGCTCTTCTTCCACTCTCCCTCATCACCACCATCCCTTCCCTGCTGATTTCCCACCGATGCCTGCCTCTCTTCCCGGGAATGATTTCCCACCGGGCGGCAGGACTTATTTCACTCATCAAATCTCCCTGCAA